CCATCACTGTAGGACAAGTAACCGTACCGACCCTTCGACAGTGCCCTGCACCCTCAGCGGGGTCAGCGCTGAGGGAGCAGGGCACTGTCAGGGGGTGAGGGTGGGACCCACTGCCTTCCAGGGTAGGAAAGGCAGGAGCCCCCATGACATTGATGAAACATTTCGATATGCGCTTGCGATGGGTCACGTGCTGCGAGATGAGGATTAGAATGGGGAGGTGGGTTGTTCTTGACCAGCACGGACCTGATGGACCGAAGAGCCTTAATCTGTGCTGTCTACCGAGTGCCAATCTCCTGTCTTTTCACCATATCCCATTCCTACCCAAACAACCATCCGATACCCCTCTCCAATGCCCTCCACTGAACTTGCCTCTCCCCACATTCTCAGGCAGTACATTCCAGACCCTCACCACTCACTGGGAGAGTGAGATTTTCCTCACGTTAACCTTAGTGTTGTTTATGCATCTCTTTAAATTAAGAGCCCGCTGGGCCAGCATTTGTTGCCCATTCCCTAATTGCATCCCTTGAGAAGGTGGGGATGGGGTCAGCCTCTGTCTCAAACCACTGCAGTCTGCTGTGTAGTGTAGTGACACCCCACTCAGTGCCCTTAGGGAGGGAGTTCCGTGATTTTGACCCTGACGGAACGGCCAATATATTTCCAAGTCAGGATGGTGCAGGGGACTGGTGTTCCCCTGTACCTGCTGCCCTTGCCCTTCCAGGGGGTAGAGGTCCCGGGTTTGGAAGGTGCTGTCTAAGGAGCCTTGGGGAGACGCTGTAGATGGTACACACTGCTGTGACTGAGCGTCGGTGGTGGAGGGAGTGGATGTTTGTGGATGTGGTGCCAATCCAAGGGGGGAGGCTGCTTTGTCCCTGGACGGTGTTGAGCTTCTCGAGTGTTTGTCGGAGCTGCCCCCATCCAGGGCAAGTAGGGGGTATTCCCTCACACTCCTGCCTTATGCCTTGTCAATGGTGGGACAGGCTTTGGTGGTGGGGGGGTGGGGGGTGTTGGAGTCAGGAGGGGAGTTACTCGCTTCAGGATTCCCAAACTCTGACCTGCTCTTGTAGCTGCTGTGTTTATATGGGGCTGGGTCCAGTTCAGTTTCTGGTCAATGGTAACCCCCAGGATGTCGATGGTAGAGGGGTGGGTAGATTCAGTGATGGTAACACCATTGAATGTCAAGAGGGCGATGGTTAAATTATTTTCTGGTTGAAGGTGATCATTGCCTGGCTTTGTGTGGCGTGAATGTTACTTGCCTCTTGTGCCCATCTCTGTTTCGGTCCATCCCCCTTCCTGCTGAATTCAGCAACGTCCTGTCTCCCTGGGTTCACAGACATTATACACGGTGTATCCCCACCCCCCCGCAACACCTCTCCCCCTCTCTCTCTGTCTGCCTGTCCCTCTCTTTCTCCCTCCCTCTCTTTCTCCCTCCCTCTCTTTCTCTCTGTCTCTCCCTCCCTCTCTCTCTCTCCCCCCCACTTCTCTCTCTCCTTCTCTCTCTCTCCCCCCATCTCTGTCTCTCCCCCTC